AAAATCGTAGTCTTTTACAATTCGTGATAGGTAGGTGAATATTATCAACTAAAAAACTCTATAAGAAATGAAATTTTACAATGACTATTTACAATGACTATCAACACACAAACCAAAATAAAATAAAATCTGTACGAGACAGAACGGAGATAACGTTCAATCTAACGACGACCATCCTCAGATTGAACGGCTACCCATCACAAGTGGTAAAATTTCATTTCTTATAGAGTTTTTAGTTGATAATATTCACCTACCTATCACGAATTGTAAAAGACTACGATTTTTTCTAGCAATAGAAAATTGTGTATTTCAGAAACGGAGCTAGAAGGTTGAAACTTTCTGTGTATTATCTAGACATGTAAGTCTACCGCAGAAAAAGATTTCAGCCTTCTACTCCGTTCTCAGACAGAGTTATAGATTTTATAATTTCTCTATTTTTCCTAGAGGGAAAATAGAAAAATCTCTATAACTTTTGATGGAAGAGGCATGGGCACGAACCCTTTTAGTGTTATAACCATCTCGACATGCTCTATCGATTGAGGTATAAATGAGTCGAAACTGAGTCCAACATCTTAGAATCTTTCCTCATTAGTCATTATGTTTGCCCTCTTACATTTTATAGTGCTGTAAATGAAGAAGTACTATACATAAAGTACCTTTTTCCACTAGGAATTGACTATAAAATTTATTTTTTCTTTAGCCTTTACTTTAGATATTTTTATTTTCCCGCTTCAGCTTTTTCGATAAATATTCCTCTGCCTTGTTTATTTAGAAAGTATCGTAGTTGGGTCCAACTAGATACGGAAAAGTCAGTACCAATCGCTGATGTCTATTCATCAACGGCCAGTGATGCAAAACGTCGTGCTGCATCTCGTGCACTTGAATGGTTGATGAAACGAGAACCAGAACATGTGAGACAATAAACTCTTTATTTAAACTACTGACTAGATATTAAGATTTTTACTGCTGTTTCAGATTCTTCGAACAAAACCACTAGTTGCAAATACCGAATATGATGAAATGGCAAATACAGTTGGTGATTTTATTAAACATATTCGATCATCGGAGTCTGCTCCAGAAATATTGCGTTCATTGGATAAACAATATTATGCAGCATTTGTATTAAAACGCAGTAAATGATTTCTCCATGTACATTTTGGTTACCATTACTGGTTTTTTCACTTTTAGCATCGAAAGACACTGGCAAAGTTGTTGCATTTGGTATTGGTAATCGTTGTCCAGATCCGGATCATGTCACTGAAGGCGGTGAAACATTACTCGATTGTCATGCATTAACATTGGCTCGTCGTGCTTTGATACAGTAAGTACTTTTAATTAATGAGTCTATAATACGTCTGATTGTAATGTACAATAATCTTTATATATAATAGAAAATTGTTGACTATGCTATGGTTTCTTTTTTTAGATATTTATACGGAGAATTACATTATTGTCTTCAAGATAGTTCAGTGACAAAAATTCGTTCAATATTTGAATATGCTGATGATAGTTTAACAAAATTTCAAATTAAAAAAAATGTCACACTTCATTTATGTTTAAGTGATAGTCCAAATGGTGATGCACGAGATTATTTACCAGCTGATACAAATTGTTCGTCCTCTATATATTTTCTCTTCTTTCTTTTTTTATTCTATTTTTCATTTTATTAGCTGAAATGAATTCAATGCAAGTTGTACAAATGAGAACGGCTGGTCATGCGCCAGAATTTAGTCAACCTGAACATGGTTCACTTAAATATAAATTATCAACTGGTATGGATACCGTCTTCTTTATTTAGATGAACGTTATTGTCAATTGTATTTCTTTGATCTGGAGGTATGGACACAATTATTGCTGATCCAATTCAACGTTATGCTATCATGTCATGTAGTGATAAAATATTGAAATGGAATGTTTTGGGTATTCAGGGTGCTCTGTTATCAAATATTATTGAACCGTTCAAAATTTCATCTATCACATTTTGTGAGTAATAATCTTTTTTGATACTTTTTATTGATGATTATTGTCTTTTTTGTTTTCAGTGAGTGGTTACAAATTGGAACATACATGTCGTGCATTATGTTGTCGTTTACAAAATGCATCCATTGAAACTTGTATGGTTCATCATCCCCAAATAGGTCAATAATTGTTGCTAGTAGCATTCAATTTAGTTATCTAGTTATTATACATTTGTTAACTATTTAGGTCGAATGAAATATCCGCTTGTACCAGAGAAAACAATTGAATCAAATTTTAGTTATTCATGGTCATTGGCTTACCAAGGTGAAGTGATCGATGCAGTACGAGGCAAACCAGTAACTGGGTAAGAATGCGTTCCTTCACCGGTGACAGTTGAATTTTATGGATTTTTATAGAATATAATACACAAGCGATTTGTGAATCGTTTGGTTTAGCATATAGACTACGCATTTAGCCGTTTTGTCATTCGGACAGTTTTCTAAGCCGACTGAGTGAACGTAGCAAACTGTCGACTTATTGCGTTTCTCCACAATCCGCATGTTCTTCTTTCTCTCTATACGCCTCGAGCGCGTTTTTCTGCTCGTCGATCTCGGTAATTTCAAGTCATAAAAAACTAGGACAAAAAAGAGAATATAAAACTCACATTGAATACGACACATCCGAGATTGTTTTTGTGTTACCCTTTTTAGTTTTCTCAGGTATATGCCCTAAACAGGATCACTCAAAAGCAATTATAGTGCGAAAGAGAGGAGGGGGAATGTTATACGTAGAGATAGAAAACGCTTGCCATCAATAGTATGAGTACAGTAGAGAGACTTATTAAAATTCTTATTCTCTTCTTAATATTTACAATTTCGTTTCTGTCTTACTTGTCTCTCATAAGCGTTCACTCAGTCGGCTTCCAATCTTCGCAGAGCGCAGTTGACATCTAGTTTTATGTTGTACTTCTCCTTCGCTTACTGTTTAACTCTGCTTTTCTGCTTAGTGGTATGAGTTTATTATCGAAATTACAATTATTTATCGAATATAAATCGATTAGTCATCAATTACGACGTATGGTTTCGATCGATTCAACCTATTACATACAAAAACAAGCGGCAAAAACATATCAACAAAAAAAGCTTGCAATGAAAAATTATTTAGAACGTCAAAAAATGGGTTATTGGTCATTTCAAAAAAAACATTTAGAACAGTTTAAAATACAATCGACAGTCTCTGGTATTGTACGAAATATTATGTGTTAATTATTATTAAGTAATAAGTGATACCTTATTTTTCTTATAAGGATTGCTTGTACATTCTTTTTGCTTTCTTCATTCTCACTTTGATATAGATATTTCTAGTTTTGATTTAAACTTGATATGTGAATACACAGTTTTTTTTGTGCTCGTTTTCTTTCTTTTTATTAAAGTTGAAAATGTGTGTAGCTTTTTTTTGCTTCATATTTTGTCTTGAGTCAAGCGTTGTTCATATTTTTTTTTGCTTATTTTTTGGAACAAAATACATTTTGCATATTTTGTGTATACATATGAGGAAAAATAAAAACCATTTAGTTGAACTATCGTCATCTAAATTACTCATGCATCGGTTTCGGTTCACCCTAACTAAAAAAATAGAAACGATACCCAGAACAGTTTTTCTCAACAATACAGGTGAGGACGAGTGCTTGAGAGTCAAGATAAATTTTATCATCAGGATATCCTTTTTTCCTCCATATTTCTTTTTTACTTACGTGTTGCGATCTATTCTACTGTTGAGAGTTTTCTTTCCTTATGATGTCAAATAGATTGATTGACGCGATCGATAACACAACAAATAGTCATTCTTTTAAACATTCGTAGTTTACTAGCATCTGCGCTTTTAAAAATAAGAAAAATAATTTACTTACAAAATACTATCAATTAAAGATTCTGGTAACTATTGAGAATCCAATTGTAGTAGCTATTTTAGAGTCATGGCCTCATAAAAACATATCAATGATAATGATATAGGGTGTCCGTAAAGCCCTTAGAGTTAGAAAATGTTCAATGTTTTCGTCATTCTTTACCCAAATGAGCTGATTTTTTTTCTGAGTATAGTAAGCGGATAGAAGTGTCTATTCATCACAAAACAGACCATTTATGAACATAAA